CCTTTACCAGTTATAAACAAAATATGTCAGTGCATTATGTGAGATCTAGATCATTTATCACAATAAAGCAGTAGTTTATAGATGATGATAGTTTTTTCCCATATATTACATTTTAAAATACCAATACCAATAAATATAATTAGGCTAATATAGGAAAATCCCATTATTATTTTATAGCAACATGCACAACTGCTATCAATAATTAAATATGTTTTTTTCAACGAGCATTAAGCAGTCAGTTTGTGTACACAGGGCAGAGCGGTGTGAGTTGTAACACCATCAAACACTAATTATAAATAAGTTACAGATATGAAAACACTGTCATACAAATATTTATGTATATAATCAGATTGACAGATTATTTGTGTAAAAAAAGAAAAGAAAAAAAAGGTAATTGCAATTTCATGTCTGGATTCTAATTCCTGATCATATCGATGCATGTTAAATGACAGAACAGGCATCATCTGAATATTTATGTTAAATTTGATGTATAACAAATACATTTATATATTAAATACATGTGACAATTTTCTTTTTTGTACTGAATTTCCTATATATTGGGCATTTCGAATAAAGGTGTTTACAGTAAAATGATGACAGCATTTTGAACAAGTACATTTGATTACCACAGTAAATTTATGCATGCAATTTAAAACGTCCATTTTTCTTTTCTTTTTTTTGAAGTGTCACCCCAGCTTGGAACTGGGTGTCAAGTAGAGCACTCTTGGTACTTGACATTAAATCACATAATTTAGAAGATTTATTAACTACCACAATTTGTAGCAGAGAAATATGGGATTCTATCAAAGTTTGAGACACCGAGTTAACAGATGTTAACGAAATTTAAGATTAAAACAAAATGTGTGACAACACGCCAGGATTAGAGGATGGGATTTTCCAGCTCTTTCTCTCTGAACATTTGGATTATCATCACAACATGATGGTGCAGCTCACGTCTCATTTCAGGGCTTCTCTAGCATTTCTAATGCCATTATTGTGTGTTTGAGAGGGACACACACACACACACACACACACACAATCATGATAGATGAACAGCTCTGTTAATGCACTGAACCAGTGCTTTGCCTCATTGGATTTCTAAGTGGAACTGATTTATGATGAGAGATGATCAGACTAGATCTGGACAAGATGCTTCAGGGATTCGTGGTTCTGGACCACCATGACATTTTAAGGATTCATTCCCCATGGCTCCTTTAGCCTGTCAAGCCTCCAATAGCTTACAAGCTGCAAATGTTTGTGAAAGGAATTATAAGAAAACAAACACACTTCCTGTCACTAACTCATAATCACGCTCCCACTTCCCCTCTCAACCACGAAACATTTCCTCTTTCTATGGATTGCTCTTTTCTCCCTCTCTCTCCCTTTCTGCCTTGTCTAATCTCTTTAATTACATCTGTTTTCCTGGGCCGCTGAGGCCTCTTTTGTCCTCCCGGTCAGGGGGCTTTTGTGGGGGCAGAATCATGCCCCACATCCCCTCTTTGGATGCTTTGTGGAGCTGCGGCTCTCTTCCTGAGAGTGAGAGGATGAGAAGGGGATTAGAGGATCTTTATCTGATTAGAGACACAGTGAGTCGGCAGGGCCTGGCTTTAACGCCTTCATCTGCACCGCAGAGGCCAGAGAGCGGGCTGCACCCGCTGACAAACCCAAACTAGGCTTTTAGGCTGCGGACGTGAGAAGAGTAAAACATATGTATGTGTGCGAATAACTTTACCTTCCTGAACATTTTCTGAAACACACAGTTGATTTGCATTTGAGATCTGAAGTAAAAACCTACTTGAAGAAAATGCCAAAATATATGTAACATATAAAGATTATGAAGAAATAAATGCATATTTTTATAAAGTTAATACTGTACATATATCTATTTAAAATAAAAATGCATATCTATCTATCTATCTATCTATCTATCTATCTATCTATCTATCGTGGGTATAGAAAAGAATCACCCCCCTTTAAAATAATCACATTTAGTTGCTTATTGTATATTAAATTGGTACTTAAATATTATATGAAGTACTTGTCAAATGTTTGGATACACAATGATTTTTAACAGTGTGAAATATTATTACAATTTGAAAATACTGTTTTCTATTTAAATATTTTAAAATGTAATTTATTTCTCTGATGCAATCATTTCAGCATAATTACTCCAATCTTCAGTGTCACAGAAGTGCGGAATATGAATATATTGTAGTGTGCGTGTGTATGTTTGCGTGCAAAATAGCCTACTGAGATACTGTGTAAATAGTACAATATATAATATAAATATTATAAATTAATATATTATAAAGTTACATACTATGGGTGTGCATATTTTTTTCTCCTTGAACCCATGTAACATCTCAAAATAAATACAATAAAAATAATAAAAGGGTAAAAATCAAAAAGCCATTATATTAAGAAGCTTTTTATTGAAAAGAGACACGTTACAGTATAAGACTCTGCATCAGGTATAATTTTTCAACAGTACTGTACAGCTGACACAAACTCAATATAATAACAATAATAATTAGAAATACAACACCGATAATTTGAATCAGAATGATAGTTGTGATGCCATGGACTAAATAAAGGAACAAATGCAAAACCCAAGTAGTGTGCGAGAGCTCCTCCCCTTTCAGATTAGCATATTCATAAATAATTAAACGGGTTTCTTGGTGAGTGTAACATGGAGACTGTCGATGAAATGAGGTAACGAACACAAACAAAAACAAAGTAAACAAACACTACTTGTTTCTCCATTTTTACATCTATTTACACAAAGCAACGACTAGTGAATGGAAATGGAAATAAAACCGAGGATATGTTCAAAAAACTTGGACATAAACGTTCTGATAAAGTCTGCATTATTGGCTTGCAAGGGGTGATGTGATGCTTTGGTTGCTGTTATGGCTGGATTTTGGTTTATTTTGCTTATTCGTGCTTTCTTTATTTACTTACAGATGGACAGATGACCCCAAAAGAAGTTTTACCCAAGGGGATGAATTACAAAAGAAGCAGAAAAAAAAAGTTCACAAATTGATAAAAGATTTATGGGTTTTTTTTCATATTAAAATGGCAGACTCTTTAGCGTCACCTGTCAGGGTACAGTTATTTCTATGAAGACGAAGACATTTACACAAGGAAGAGAACATTTACATCCATTCATGCAAAAAGATCAGAAACAAAAACGACTGTTTTTCCACAGAAAGGATTCAAAGTGGACATTATATTGTGTGTTCTTCACAACAAGTGATCTGTGTTCTGTAGTGCATTTAATCATAAATAATGGTTATTGTGGTAAAGCCTCTAAAGGCCTGCTACGTTATATACAAGGCGAAAACTGCAGACTTACGAGCTGAAAATCAACATGCCTCAATGTTTCTCTCATAGTTTCTATCCTCACGTCCTTCACTAAAGCTTCTCCACTCTCACGGTTTTCTTTCGAAAGCTTGGAAAACTATTTAAGTTTCTCTACACAGTCCCAAATGTCTATCAACTAGCTTAAAGACGTCCAGACTGTTTGCATTGCAGAATATTCATTCTGCAACACAGATCCTCTCACATCTCCAACCCTAAGACAAGTACCTTCACATTTCTACTACCTAGCGAACAGTAAAATCAATGGGAGCTGAGATGAAATGATCAAAGCCCATCAAATCATATTATGGAATAAGTCCATAGCAAACCCTTCATGGGATCTCCAGTAATGATATATATACGCCCTGAGACAGAGTCTTACATTGGCTTTACGTCTCTCAATAACAACGTGGTGACATCCAAAACGCGGTGAAAAACTATTACTCATGTGTCTACCTGGCTGATTTTTTGGCTTCGTATTGCTTTAATACTCCTTGACACATGATAAAGGAAGAAGATAAAGGCAAGGAGGAAAACTAAGCTATGAAGAACAATTCAGAGAAAGAGAGCATGTAAAGGGAGCAGAAAGAGTGAACTCGACTCAAACAGGCACACTTGCAACTTCTGACACCTTAACCTGCACTGAAACAAGAAGAGGGCGAGGTGAAATATATAATAATAACCACTTTTGTCAGGGGGAGTGCTGTCTTGAAATACTTTTCTATATAGTACACTACTCAGAGAAAAAACTGAATGAGAGAGAGAGAGAGAAGGAAGAAGAGTATGTACAGATTGGAATTGAAGACCCAGAGAGCCCTTCTCTTCTTTGAGATAAATGAGGTTTCAGGACTCTGCAGTGGAAAGTGTGAGAACAGCAACAGACGGAGATGACCTGAGAGAGGCACGTCACTGTATGAAAGCAACGGCCGCCATAAGCAGATTTCAGTCTTTTTGCATGACAGAAAGTCCTGTGTTTTCCTGATATTCTGTGGAGCTTTTAATGATGAACACTTGAGGTCACAGTCTGAGCTTCAACCCTGCACTTCTGAAATATGGTTCATCTGAATCGGTGCCTGCACACTTCACTGTGAGCTGAAGTAAAGAATGAGCCGACGGATGGGCAACATATAAGACTAGATTGACGTGTTTAACGATTTTTTAAAATCTGCTAAATAAAAGCTGGTGAAAATAAAAAATATAATTCCCTTTTACTTCTGAGAAATGTAAATCCTAAAACTCTTGTTTTTAAGAATCTTCCGTTTGGTCCAGTAATGAGCACTTAAGACAAATGCTACTCAACAAATGTTAAAACAAAAACAGTTTAAAAGATCATGTCAGATTCAGACTTCAAACTGACTCAATATTTGGCTGTTTTCCAAAAATGTCATTACATCCTTTCACATTCCTTTAAAAACAAGAAGAATAAAAGATATAATGGACATACTGATGTAACTGACTGAGAAATAGTAAAAACGGATACAAAACGAAACGTCTGAGAGCGTGAGATCAGACAGAAAAATCAGTGTCAAAGTGGTGAGATGGAAGTCCAAGTAAAGTAAAGTTCTCTGGCTCTTCTGGGTCATTTTGAAGATCCAGCGTAAAAGTATCCCATGCTGCCCCATCATTTCCTATCTTGCTTTGTCATCTATTAGACTCCACAGAGAAGAGGCAGGGAGCAGAACGCTGATGTGTCACCTGCTCATCAGTTACCAAATCCACACCCTATTCTCCCATCATGCACTTGGTAGCTTAAACTGGCACAGGCAGAAAATCAGAGTCCGGTATTGTTTTCATTTTTGTTAAAACCAAAACAATGGATGACACATGATTGGCTAAACCCTTGCCACGACAATGTTTTCAACCTGTGGGATTGTAAAGTCAGGCAAACACAGTAGCTCTGCTCATGCTGCTTCATCATCATCAGTGTCGGGGTCTTTCCCTCGAGTCTAGTATAGTTTTATGATTCTGATGTAGTGGTGGAGCTGTACATATGAAAGTGTGTGTATGGAGGGAGGAGGAGTGCTGACCAGAATGCATGTTTGTGTGTGTGAGAGTGTACTTCTCATATAACTGCACTGTTTATGCTGCTGCAACTGTTATTGCGGTTATTGTTCCTGCGTGACAGGTTTGGTGTGGCCATGAGTGGGTAACGCTCGTCAGGACAGCCGTACTGAAGCAGGACGTCCATACACTCCTGACTGTTAGCTTGCCGTGCGTATGCCAGTGCTGTATTGCCGTGAGCATCCCGTGCCATGATGTCCACGCCGTACTACAGAGCACAGAGAGATAAAGAGAGTTATGATCCTATGATCCAAAGACTGCTGTATAAAATCCCAATTTATTTGGACTTGTAGTAAATGTATAAACAAAACACTTTATGGACTTGCTATTATTTTATGTACAAATGATTTTGCAGATGACCTTTGTTGACCTTATCATACAAACACCAGTAATGTTAATTATGTTGCTGAAATTAGAGTGCTGATCGTGCTTGCTAGTCAGCTGACAGACCAGCTGAAAGGTGTACCGCAAATTGCAGTTGACAGATATTCGCTGTTGGTGTGAACGGACCATTCAACTGAGATCTGCTTTTTAGGTTACGCATTTGTTGTGAAAAGGTCTTTACTCAAATACACATCGTCACCAATAGTTTGTTGTGTGATTAAAAGAGTGTGTCCTGTAGCTCTTACCCATATGAGCAGTTGCGTGATTACAACATTCCCTTTGCGGCAGGCCAGGTGCAGGGCTGTCCGGCCATCACCTTCCCCACAGGTTTCGTTGACCTCATCTCTGGAGCCGTGGGCCAGCAGTATGACCACAATGCGCAAGTCTTCCTCCGCTGTGGCCCGCAGTAACTGCTGTCCTAAAGTCAGCTCTGTGCACGTCAGCGATGCCAAAAACAACTTCTGCTCATATTTGGCTCTGATCCAGCGCTCACGTTCCTCTCTGAAAGCGCACACACACACACACACACACACACACACACACACACACACACACACACACACACACACACAAAACCGGGCTGTCAACACATGGTTCACACTGGTGGCATGTTTTGATCTGGCTCTCATTCCAAATGACATTTAAAATTTGATGGGATTCGTGTACAGCCTTCTGATTTCGTTCCCAGTCCCGTGCCAAACATTTACTAGCTCTCACATCTCCATTACACACAGCAGCATCTAGACCTTAATACACTAGAAAATATTATAATGAGCAGAGCAGAAACAATACAACCACTAGAGGCATTTTGAACGGTTGCTGTCTGTGTGTGTAAATGTATGTCCACTTCATGGACTGCAAAGGCCTCAATACACTTTTCATTCTTCTCTTAGGGGTACAAGGGAGTTTGAAATACCTGAGCAGCGCTATACTGTTAGCAAACATCCTGACACCACCCCTGCTACTGGGAGTGGCGATTAGATGAATATGTAAATATGTGCTTTCGTCTCAATAACAAAAAATATGACAAAAATGACAGTGGTGAGAAAACAGCAGTTAAGAAAGCATCTGATCATTGCGATGTGGATATGTTTTGCAATAGCTCCACGATTCAGCACTCAAGTCAAGTCACATCATGTTTATTTATATAGCACTTAATACAACAGAATGCTTTAAAGCAAGCATTTTACAGTATTAAACATGAAGAAACAGTGTTAGTGTCACTCAATTAGAACTACAACAAGCAATACACACTGAAGTGGCTGAATGAAGTGGTATAGAAGTGTAAGGACAGGAAAGGGCCATCAGCAATCGTTGGATCGTTTACAGCATCCCCTCCTCAAACTGTGCTATGATAGCACTTAATCTCTGTTAATCCCCGCAGAGTAAACAGCCTTTCTCAGACAACTCGGGATTAGTTCAGCTTCAGCTCCTATCTGAGGGGCAGAGGGAATTCTGATACCCCCGAGGAGGGGAAGGGAGTTGGGCAGAGGATATTGAGCTGTTCCCTAAAACGCAGCTGCCCCTCAAGGAGTCCAAACCAATGAGACCAAAGAACAGACATCCTACCGCCACAATTCCTCCTCAAAAGGAGCATCTGGACAGGAACAATGTGGACAGACAATGATCACAGACGTAAAATAAAAATCTATCCTAAACACCAATGGAGTCACTTCCATTTTCAGGTTTTGATGAACAGAGCTTGCATTAATTTAATATAAATGAAAACTTGTGATCTTGAGATGGATAAGTTTAGTCTAGGACTTGTGGAAAGATGTATTTTTCAAACACAACCGTTTTAAATTTCTCTCAGATTAAATATAATGAACAGTAGACACGGTTATTGGTTGTGCAAATGTATTAAAAATTGTATTGTGTGATCTAGTGATAGACCAATGTTTTGGCAAATTTTATTTAACTGACCAATATTTATTTCATAATAAATAATATTGTGTTAATTCCAAGATTAGGTAAATATTGTGTAAATAACATTCAAACAATTTTCTTTAAGCGAAAACTTTTCATTTAAATTTAGTATAAAATTAGTATGTTAAAGTTATTATTTAAAAACAAACTTTTGTGCACATCTATTTATATTTATTTTATTCATGTGTATATTTTTGTCCAGTGGTCATTAAAAAAATCTCAAAATGGTTCTCAAACAGGGGACCTGTGCAAACTTCCAAGAAGTCTTATAATTATTTCAAATTATAATTTTTTTTTATTTAGTTATAATAACAATCTTATTTAAAATGCCAAAAAAGAGACTAAAACACAGTAAAATGCAAATTACCTGTAAATTAAATTAAATGTAATTTTTTTTTTAATTATTATTATTTATTAAAAAAAAATACAAGAGATACATATCAGCTTTCAAATATCGTCTTGGACATAGGCGACCTTTAGAGTCAAAAAGGTTGAAAACCATTGTACTAGTGTTTAAATCTATCACTGTAACTGCATTAAAATCCACCAATTATTTAAAATAAACAAAAATCTAAATATTACAATAGATTGTAAATGTTATACTTAAAGTGATAAAATTTCCCAATTTGATTTAATTCCAAGTTGATATCCACTGCTCATAACAGAGGACGCCACAGCCATGATGGGCTTTGAAAGATTAACTCAACTGTCTCTCAAAGGGTTAAACTCAGAAACCCTGATTACAAATTAGCCATGTATGCATGCCAGGGGCCAGAGTGCAGAGGAGATAACATTTTATCAGAGAGGCAGATGGATTAAAAATAGGTAATCAATAGCCCAGGGGATCGATGGTTTAGTGACATCCTTCTTAATCAAGCAGCAAAGCCATGCTGATGGACCTGAACCCCCCCCCACAGCACTAAAAGATTTTCTGTCTAAGGTCACAGCTAACATCACGTCTCACAGTCACAAGTGCACACACACACAAACAGGGCACACATGGGAAAGATGCAAGTAACAATCACCTGTTGATGTCAAACTATAGTCAGACATTTGACTATAAGCATAACATCTGGTTCACTTTGCAGTTTATTGTAGCTAAAAGACACTGAATAAGACAGGAAGGGGCCGTCTGAGCAATTTGTAAAGCGGCCAATTACAGTGTGTTATTTTATGGGACTAGTCCTGATTAAAAAAAAAAGAAACTTTTATATCAGACAATCTGTGGTTAAGATTGTCAATCAGAATAGGGAAGATGCAATGAAATGCAATTTACCCAGAACAATTATATAGCACTAACATGCAGACAGTATCAAGGATTTTCAGCATTGATCATTTGATTCACAGTAGAACCAGTAGAAAAAAAGATGAAAAAAAGGATGAAAGAGCAGGAAGGAGAGACAGGGAAGAGAGAAGTCCGGAGGAGGAGAGAAAGGCTGCAGTTTCTGTGGGAAAGTTGAAGAATTTTATTAACTGTGTGTGTTTTGAGAGGGGGGTCTAGCAGCACGGAATGTTCCGGGTGCTGCTGGTCAGCCCAGGGTGAGTGAGAGGGCTGGCACGAGGGCCACGGACCACAGCCCCCACACAAAGCATCCTGGAAGCCGTGGAGGAGGGCAATAGAAGAGGGGAAAAGAGAGAGGAAGAGGCTCGGCAGGGTCTCCCCACTGCCCCTCTGCCTCTCAGTGTCTAGAGGAAATGTGGAGCACTTCACTGCCCTCTGAAACGCATGCCTTCCCCAGTTAGCAGCGTTGCTAAGGGTCAAGCCCAGCTGGCTAATGGAAAAAAAGCCTAAACTTCTTGCAGATAACCTCTTAAAATGTTAACTACAACAGTGCTAAAAAAAAATAAAAATAAAAATAAATAAAAACTTATATATGAAAACAAATGTAGCTGGTAGCTTTCGCGGGGCTGTTTTGGGTTAACAAATAAGTTTAGAATTTAATTAATCTATAAACCTTGAGGAAGACAATAGCATTTAGTGTTTGATTTTAGGTCTCCCTAAACGAGCACAAACACACTTATGCATACATAAATGGATTGTAAGCAAGCAACAAAAGGCAACAAAAAACGGTTCAGAAGTCATGGTGACAAATGTAAAGCGAGAGGATGGGCTGCACAATTTAACCTCTCAGAAAAGACACACACACACACACACACACACAAACAGGAGAAAATAGGTCACCTGCTGCTTCCTATTCTTGTCTTAAACACCACCCTACCACTTTAATTCACACAAACACAAAGACCCAGTACAAAAATAACTACCTTGTCTTTGCATGTTAAATTCACAAATTAAGTCAAGCAACAATACTGTATGATGACAAGATACATACAAATGTACAATTCACAAATTAAGTCAAGCAGCAATACTGTATGATGACAAGATACATACAAATGTACAAATGTAAAAAATAAAAGAGCAAATGATTCCCAGGGGTCAAATTAGGAGCTGCTTACCACCTGGTGTCAGTTGGAAAGGGTAATCAGGGCATACACACACGCACACACATGTACACACATACACAGACGCGCACACCAAATCAGTATGATCTCATCTGAATCTTGGGGAATTTGTCCTTGCAAAGGAAGATGGCTAATTGAATTAATTAGCAACTCTGTTCCATGACTGTGTATCATTGTGTGTGTGTGTGTGTGTGTAGACCTGCTGGCGAGAAAATTATAGAAAAAAACTAGTTTAACATACACGTATTCATATAGGTTTCATATGGCTTTGAAAATTACATTTCATCTTAATGACTCTAAATATGTAATGTGGTGTGTAATTTTCTTTACACCTTGAAAACCTGCAGTGTAAGTGAACTTTTCTTTATCATTATTAGTTTAATTTAAAAAAAGCATTTTTATAACCATCATAAATGATTAATTTATATATATATATATATATATATATATATATATAAATTAATAATTCATGATGTTCATAATGCTTTTATATATATATATATATATATTTTTTTTTTTTTGGTGGTAGTACCATATGACATTTTATGAAAAACTAATAGTGAGTTGTCAAAAAAATTCACATTATCTGATATTTACCTTATATACTTAAATATACTGCTTCACTGCCAAACTACAATTACTGTGTTTGCAATGATGTGAAAACATCTGTTTTCGTGACAGCTTCATTAAAGTGTGTTGCATTGCTGTTTTGGGACGTTTACCTGAGGGGAAGGCGGAGGATGAGACTGTAGCCTCATCGCCGCTGGAATGCAACAGGCTGGGTCACGGGGGAATTAACGGGAGTCTACATCAATCCCTTGTCAGGATGGTTTCCTGTTTGTGAGTGTGTTTGCGCTTTGTGTTCTCCCTGGACAATCACTTTGTGGGCTTGTGTTTACCCACTTGCCAGCGCTTCCTGTCCAGCTGAAAGCCAGGGGCTGTTTACCCAACACTGACAGGTGTCCACTAATGCAGCCGCCCGTGACAGGACAGCCCTCCAGCTGCCACTGGCCCCAGTGATCCCCCACCCTAAACTCACACACACCTCTGAACTTCTGTGAGAGTTCAGAGAGACCACATATCGGAGGTTAACTACCGTGTGTAAGTGAGAT